TTGGACAGTAACTTCCAGTCTGCTTAGGGACGCTACAAGCACCTTATTACGCATTCCGCCGTTTCAGAGCTGGACAGAAACGCTGGAGTATTCATACCAATCTTAATCACACGAAGACTTTTGGACGCACATTGATCGAAGTACTTTACCAGAACTCTTCCAAGGCAATGATCCATGGCATCAATAATAGCCAGCATGATAAAGTCAGTGGCCGGAGGTTGTATGCCATTACAGAGGACAGCTTTTCTATGCTTCCCATCAACTTGTCTTCTGCAAGAGACCGTTCTGTCACCTTTCTCGTTTTCCAGTAAAAATGAACTAACTGGTTGTAAATATGTCTGTGACATCACCTGCTAGTGTCTGTGTGTCTCCATTTGGAGGCTGACTTCACTAACCTCTTCACACCTTGTCTTGACCCGAGTGTTTCGATATCTCTTCATGGTCCTTACTATCAGTTTCTAAATGAAGACAACCACGATTCCTTCACTAATCTTGCTTGGTTAGTTACTTAATTGTGACTGTATTCCGTCTCCAAGGATACGAGCCTAGCTTATCTCTGTTCTTTATTATTGAAGAAGCCGAGTTGCACCACATCAGTTCCCACATCCATTTTTCTCCGTCTCAAGGACAAAGGCTGTGTTGATTGCTCACTCCCTTGAATTGATACCCTAACCTTCCCCATTATGCTGAAGTCACCGTTTTCACGCATTTTTCAGCCTGTACTAGGTTTGTTCAGAAAATTCTACTGGCGGAAGGAAGGAGGCCTTCGCTGCGCAGTTATTTATTAGAAAATGTCAACCAAACAGTTACAGGCTATTGGACAGGGAAGCAAATCTCTCATATGCATCTTGTTTACGAAAAAACTGAACATCCATCTCCCCTTTGAACGCGTCTTCCTAAACTTTCCTGGATATCCATTGGCTGTTGCTCAAATCCAAACAAATGTTACAAACCGACTCCACAAATTCCGTAATAGATCCCACTTTTTAAGAGACGCAAAGCGGATGTACGAGAAAAACATACTACTCCCATTACTCTCCCATCAGTAGTATCATCATTACCGTAGGACGTTCGTGTTTGCAACAGCCTTTCTCTGTAGAGATGATCTTTAGGATTGACCTCATAAAGAAGCACTTTTCAACCGAGATCTCATCCTGCAAGTGAAGGTAGTCGACGCACTAGTCAGTCCTTGACTGCTTATTTGTCCGTATCCGTCTAAGACGCAATAAATGTAGACTAGTTTCCTTGCGAATATTTGACGGGCATGATTGCCAATCGCAACCTACCTCACCGATGTCGTTTTTGTCTTCTCACTCCTAAATCACGCATTCTTTTATTTCTGTCGTGTTGGTTTGTTAATTCTGTGTTCCCTCCACTGTACTGTGTGCACGGAGAATGAAACACTGGACAGTGGGGCAAGTTTGATTTGTTCTGCTTTGACCTGGTAATACCTGAACCTTCTTCACACCTGAACCTGGACGACTCTCATTTGCTCGTAATAGTATGCTTTAATTGTCATACAGCGAATCGATCGTCGGGCTGGGATAGATTCATGGACTTTAGGCAAGCAACAACTGGGGACGCTCTGTCGTGGGTGGCACAGCTGCTTACGCAGTTCATCTGAACAAACCATGACAATCAGGTCGTGTGCGGTGGTCTTTAGTTCCGACGCACTGTCACTCTTGAGTTCTGTATGACGGGTCTAGGGATGTTTTACTACGTTTGAAGGTTTTCTCCTCTGTAGTATACCCAAGGGAGCTGTTCTGGGTTTGTCTGTGGGACGGACTGTTGTAGCAAATTCTTGGTACAGGTAAGATGACTTGTCAAATCATATACTCGATGTGTGTGTGTGAATGGCTGTTGTCTCAACTGTGTTTGAACAGATCAAAGGCAACCGGTTTGCTGGTTTCTCCGTTTCTATTCAGAAAGGCACTTGGTACACAGACAGGAACTTCTTAAGCTCTACACTTTAACGTCAGAGAACGGGGATCACTCGTTTTCGGATCTATATCAATAGGATCCATACTAGGTCACAATCAATAGTGTACACATGCACCTCTTGTCTTCCCGGCGCCAATCTGAACTTTTTCGAAGGATTTTGACACAAATTTTCTCCACTACGTAAACATTCTTGGTTTAGAGGGGCTATCTGATCAAAGGAAGCATTCAAATCAATGGGGTTTGTCGAATTCACTTCGAATGTCATTCATTCACTACTAGAGTGATTCCTCTATTTTACTCTGAGTATCTTGTATCTAAACGTTGACGATGTTTTTTGTTACGCCCATGTTTGCAGATTTCGAAATGCTGGGAGCATCTCCTTACATGAACTCCGTGCTATGTTGCACTGTGGCGGGCAACTCAGGTGTGAGTGAAAGCAACACGGAACCCGAGCATGATACACAACCACTACGATCATTTGTCACACTTGGTCACGCGTCCGCCAAAGACATCCAGGAGCTGAATGGGTTCTCTGGCACCAAAGTGTTGGAACTGGATACGAACACCACGTCGGAGACGTGTCCGCAGTTCGCAAATCTAGTATTGCGTCGCCGTGTTGTGGAGGGACACATCGCGCCCCCTACGATGCGCTTGGAAAACACGCCCGAATTGACACGAATGTTCAACGTAACACATATGAGTTATGATGAGTTTAAACAGCGAACAGGTATATGGGCCCGTGAGAATATCGCATACACGCACTACTGTGAATATTCCGTCCGAAAGACACCCTCAGCATCGCTGGATACTAAAAGAGGTAAGCTGGGTGTCGATCCCTGGGATCTTGATGAAGCATTTCATAAAATAACAAAACCAGAACGTTTATCTTGTGTTTGAAAAATCAGTGCTCTTTTACTCTGCTTTGCACTTGGTTACTGTCCAGTATTCCGTTTGTCTGCAAAAGTGTCCCAAGAAGCAGCAAAACATAAAGGGTCCCTATATGGGTGTAGGGACGATATTTTCCTCAGCTTAGTTCTCGGTCTGAGCGTCTCAAGCTAGTTCTCACTTCAAAAACAACCACCAAAGGCGCACAAGTTACATTAACGCCAAAAAACAAAGTCAAGAACACTGGTACAGCGCTTCATATATATAATGTTAGCAGCGACAACTTTCTGGAAATTCTGACGACTTCTGAATACGGCATTAGCAACCGGCATTTGGCCAATACTGCGTCATGACTGGTTGTTGCGTCCAGACTTTCGACCAATCAGATCTCGGCTTGNGGCAAGCGTCCCGAACTGTTGGCCAGTCTTGCGCGGGATAGGCTTGTCGACCGTATCAGCACGTGACTGCGAGCAGTAAAGTGGGATCCGTGTGGAATTCTGCCTAAGAATGGAACATCGTTGTACAACAAGGTTTTTAAACTGGGATCCACGCATCATTCATTGGCGCTGGACTGCGGAACTGTAGGTGTGAACATCATGTCTTCAATGACCTAAACAGTAAGTCAAAACTTGGCACATCTAGCCTTTTTATTGACCCAACACCACCTGTAGGGTCTGTGCAGATCCATCGACAACCCACAATCGGTTTCGCCTGTCTTGGAGTTTATCAGGTAGGCAGGACCACCGAGTTTCCATCAGTTTTATTCGCCAATTCAGTAACTTTGCATACTCAAAGCATATGAGCAATGTTGAAAAGCAGCCGACTAAGAATTCTCCTAGTTTGGGGCTATGTTCGTGATCTCGACACATTCCAAGAATTCATTCATTCCTCGATTCAGGTCTAATTTCAATCGTAGTCAGTCATCTAGGTGTCATCTAGGTGGATGCGATTAAGTGGCCTATCAGAGTCGAACGGCTGCAACTGCTTTCCAATATCTACCCAAGCTTCCTTGGCGGGGAGCTAACAACTAGTTGAATTC